ACTTGTTTTCCTAGCCATCCGACCCTTTACTTAGCATACTTCCGTTGACGAATACTTCCGAGGGTCGGACGAGTGGCTGACTTAGCTATTTGAAGGGAAAAAATTAGCTAGGGCCGCACGAGATGTCGTAAGTGGAAAACGAGTACTTGACACTTAGCTCAAAATTTCAATCAGGTCTTACAGAAATAGAAATCTGCTTAGAATACACATATCTGTTAAAGTACTATGACGGTAAGTAAATATGGCGACTAGATTGATGGAAAAATGCATACTATACTACGCTACTTTGCAAGTCCACATTATGAAAGAAAGTGCCAGACGCAAATTGCTAAATTACTAAAGAAATTTTTTTTACTTTGTTATCGGTCATAGGCAATTTAAGTGTCATCAACCAAATCAAGAATCAAAGACAACGGCGACGGAGACAGTGTTGATTATCGCCTGCGCCTTGTGGATCATCAGATAAGTGTGGAAATCATCACACAGAGTTGTGATGATATCATCCAGAGACACATCAAGAGACACAGAAGTAGCGTTGGGGATAGAACTAAGATAAAGTCAAGTAGCGTTGGGGATAGAACTAAGATAAAGTCATAGACAAGTAGTGTTCAGTAAGATGTTCCATTCTGATTAGATAATTATTCAAGGTAGAAAGTAATATATGTAAAGAAGTGTTAAATATAAAATACTTACACTAGTCAAACCAACCAAGGTTGCATAAAAGTATAACACTAGTCTTAAAGAAGGGCAAGTAACTTAACAATCCTAACACAAATATCATGATAGCTTTTAAAGTATGGAATATACAAATACTTTATGACCCTACAAGTCTATAATCAGGCAGTCAGAAATATTGCAAATGTATGAGTGCAGTAAAGTGAGCCAAAAGTTTTGATTGAAAACTTTTAGCTAGTCTCACTGCACAAAACCAAGCTTCCACTTAATGGTGGTCGCTGTGTATTTGCATATCCTTTCTCACAATCTCACATAATCACAATCAATCATTTCAATATAACTTGGCTTTGTGAAACAAGCCTAGCCAAGATTCAAGAACCTCCTTCTAAAACTGTTCAAACCTCACAATGAGGGCAAGTAACTTATTGGATGAGGGTTTACAGGATTCCTAAAGGCATGGTACTGCAGTGATGACAATCCTAACACGAATACCTTGATAGCTTTTGAAGTATGGAATATACAAATAGTTTAAGGCCCAACAAGTCTATAAGAAGCAGACATGACACTCTCAAACATCATGCAAAGATTTGAGGGCAGTAAAGTGCACCAGACAGTTTAGATTGAAATCCAAAATAGCAAATATACTAAATCAGGATAATGGCCTTCCATTGATTGAACCAAGCTTCCACTTAATAGCATTGGTTGTGTATTTGCAGATTCTTTCTTACACAATCACAATCAATTAGGTGTCAAATGCATTTCAATATAACTTGGTTTAGTGAGAAAGGCGTAGCTAAGAATTCCCCTTATAGAACTGTTCAAACCAGAATTGCAATCTTCTGTTAGACAAATGATCGAACATCTTAATTCACATTGTCAATAAGCACCAATCAGGAGTGAGCAACAAAGATACTAAACCCATAAAATCAAGACAAAACATTCATTATTTAACACATTAATCAAACTACACAATGATAAGTTTTCACTAGCAAAAATTCAAGAAAACGCAAAATACAATCAAACTTTGAATACCAACAAAGCCAGTTCTAATTACTCTCAGTCTGCTGGGACTCCATGGGAAGCCCAAGCTCCTGGGACTCGGTATCCTCCTTGGGCTTGCGCTGATTCCTGGGAGGGGCAGGGATGGCAACGAAAGTCTTGGTCTTGCTAATGGGGCGGCTCTTTTCTAGCTGAACAAAGTCCCCAACTTTGAACTGGTTGGAGGGGTCGTGAGCCTGGTACTTCTTCTTCACCCTGTACCTGCGCTTGTACTTTGGGTGCACTGTGAGGCGGACAACCTCGACGGCAACAGTCTTGTCGTTGGTGGCGCAGACGACGCGGCCCTGCATGACCTTCATAGCCCGAATTGCGGGGAGGAAAGCGGGGGCGCGTGGCTGGGGAGCGGAGATGCAAGAAGAGGGCTTTGAGAGATGGGACAGAGAGGAGGAGCCATGGAGGAAAGGGGTAGCGAGGGTGAGGGATTTGAATTGGGAGATTGGGAGTTGAAGAAGAGGAGAGGTGAGTGGCATTTTGGGAGAGTTTGGATAAGAAAGAGGATGACGAGCACAAAGCCACAAAGCTAAAAATATTTCGCAAATCGCAATTTCATTACAGTATTTCAATTTCAGCTGGGGCTTGCGCTTGAGGATGGGAAGGTTTTTTTTTTTTTTTTTTTTTTTAAATAGTACGGAGTAAATGAATTTTTAAGTGGAAAATGTTGTTGGATAGTATTGTTAATTGAAGCATGTGCTCTACCTTAACTAAAGACTAAGTTTTTAGTTGGAGCTCCATCTCAACTAAAAGTTTAAACTTTTAGTTGGATTGCACATTAATTATTGTATGATCAATATTGTTGTGAATAATAATAATAATAATAGTGGAAGAGAGGAGCAATTTGATTTTTGATGTTAATTTGAAATGAATTTTACCAGGATAAACGTTGGGTATTTATAGGGATAAGCATGATACTAAATAAATATTATTTATATAACATATGACTATATCTGTTAGAGCTAGCCTAGTTGGTTAGTCACAAGTCTATATAGTCTCCACGAATAAAATAAAAATTTATACATTAATCTCATGACTTCTATATAACACAACCTTGTATTCCCCTTATACCCAAGTAGACATCGTCTAAAATTATATATTGACTAACTGGTGTATAAAATTTATTTAATTACACCTCGTAAATTATGTTTGATTAAGGTGGTGTAAATAGCAATATGAACAACACTCATTTGGTTATTTACACCACCTATATAATTATTAAAAAATTTCACTTTTTTACAATTTCAAGATACTTTATAGAGGAAATTTTAATTTTGGTCATATTTTTTTGAAAGCCAAGAAAATCAGATTGCATTAAACTGTAGGGGTCTTGTTAATTTTAGTCATTGACTTTCAAAAGTGTTAATTTAGTACCTCAACTATGTAATTTTTGTCAATTTTGGTCACTTCGGTCAAATTTCGCCAAAAAATTTTAATGATTAAAATAATAAGGGTATTTTGGTCGTTTCACGCCTCTTTTCTTCTTCTCTGGCGAGTCCATCCCTTTCTCTCCTCGTTTCCGACATTCTTTCTCACTGTAAACCATATCTTTAATATCATCAAACCTCTTTTCCCCATCATCTTAGTTCATTTTATTCGTCGAAAACGGGAGAGGAAGTGATGGACTCGCATAGGAAGAAGAAAAGAGACGTGAAATGATTAGAATATCATCATTATTTTAACAATTAAAATTTTTCAGCGAAATTTGACCGGTAATTTGGTCGGAGTGGCCAAAATTGACAAAAATTGCATAGTTGAGGTACTAAATTAACACTTTTAAAAGTCATGAACTGAAATTAACAAGACCTATATAGTCATAAGACCAAAATTAAAATTTCATCATATTTTATACTAACTTTTGACTAAAGGGTGGTGCAAATTGCAACACCCTGATTGATAGGCTAATAATTGTACATTTATAAACGTACATATACTATTTGCTCTCAATCAAAGTGAGCGCTATAAAATGGAGCAATTTTTTTTTAGTTAGCCCCATATATGATGGTCTATAGACTGAAAAATTGACAGATGACACAATCTAATAACAGATAGGCTTATCCATGCATAATCCATGTGGCACCACATAAATGGGACTTCATATCCCTAAAAAGATACCCACAACGCCAAGTGTCTCCACACAATCCACGCAAAAACATCAAAAACCCACCGCGCTGGAATCAACACTCCAAATAATCAAGAACTGAAAATCCATTTTTGTTTGTTTGGAGCGAAAGAAAGAAAGGCCATGGCATCTCTAGCAACCCTTTCTGCTGTCAAGCCCACCACCGTCAATGGCCTTGCCGGGAGCTCCATTAATGGAACCAAGCTCCATGTTAAATCATCTCGCCTCAACTTCAAACCCTCCAAACCCAGGCAAGATCCAATCTTTACTCTTTTTTTGAATGCAACTTTAATCTATGCTAAGGATTTAAATCTCATTTTGGTTAAGTTTAAATTGAGTTCATCTTTAATTTGTACAGCCAAACTTCCACAAAGTGATCTAGAACTGAACTGATTGTGTGCATTGTGTGAATAGGGCTGGTGCTATTGTGGCTAAGTATGGTGACAAGAGTGTTTACTTTGACTTGGAGGATTTGGGCAACACCACTGGGCAATGGGACTTGTATGGCTCAGATGCACCTTCACCATACAACTCTCTTCAGGTATATTTGGCTTCATTTTATTTTGGGTTACCAAGAAACCCGCAGCCATTACCCGAGGGTCTGCACTAGTTAATCCCTGCCTTGTGATCCTAGTCTGACAAAAGACCACAAGAATGTAAACCGTTGGCTAAAACCAAGAAGGCCAATAGGCCAGTCCTGCTAGGAGTTAGACTTGTAACATTGTGGTTACCAAGTTAACCGTCTGAACAACTTCATTTTGTTAATATTTTCTAGCAGTCACCTAATATACAGATTGGTACATTTCATGACTATAGAGAAGTTGCTTATTACAGAGTAATTAGTTTTGTAGTATACTTGAGTCATACTTGTCTAGAGATTAGGCTTGTAAACGTTTATGGCGTTGTATTTGCTCGTACTTTAAGGCTCTTCTTTCTTGCTTGGATTGAAATTCGCAGAGCAAGTTCTTTGAGACGTTTGCTGCTCCTTTCACCAAGAGAGGTCTGTTGCTGAAATTCTTGATCCTAGGCGGCGGTTCCACTCTTGCTTACCTCAGTGCAACCGCAGATGGTGATATTCTTCCCATAAAGAAGGGCCCACAACTTCCCCCCAAGCTTGGACCTCGTGGCAAGATCTAAACATGTCGCCGTTCAAGATTTTCTGTCTTTGTTGTGTCCGGTGTAAGCTTGTAAGTATAACTGAAGCCTACTAGAGACCTCTATTTCAAGAAGTTCAATATTATTGCCATTTGAAACATTGCTCTCTTGTTAGCTTAATGTTCTTGTGCAATTTCATTCGATTGATTTGGGATTTCGTATGCTTATGATAATTGTGAATTTATAGAAGGAACCATATCAAATCAAACCAAACAATCTATTTAGGGTATGGAATATCCAAAAACAAATATGAATACTATAATCTATATCTTCTCTCCAATTTCTACAAGGTCATAGACGACTAATTGTAAGCTAGATGGAACTCTTTGGAAGGTGAGTTATGTTTAGGGTATGGAATATCCAAAATTACACGAGGAATAACTTGGTCAAATCCTATAAGGCATGAACCGATCTTGATAAATACATCTCAGCCCGAGCCTTATTATCAGTCTTGATGAACTCCTAGTCTCCTACCATAAGTCGAGATTCAATTCCAGGCTCCTGATCTGAGCTAACCAGCATTGCACAGTTTAAAATGTTTAGTGGCGTGCTGTAGGACTTATGGAGCCTGCTAAGTTTTCCAAGTAGGAAGTTTTCTTGCCGGTGGTTACTACTAAGCTGGGTGGTTTACTTAGGAGCTTTGCGTCTTTGTCTTTTGCCGATTGATCCTTAACTCCTTTCTTTGCACCGTCCTCTCCTTGATCCAACTTCGACCAATCCATGAAGTCCCACAGTGTCATTGATGCATTTGCGTCTTTAGCATTTGGAGTGTCTTTATGAGAACAACCCTTCTTTTTGCTGGCATGGTTAGTTTGTGTAGCGGCATCTGCTTGAATAACGTCTTCTATTCTTGACAAGACCGTGTAAGCCAGGCTTTCAATTACTCTCGAATAGCTCTCCAGCACTGCATGCCCGACATCCTAGGAATAAACAACATAGGAAGAATCTCGTATTTAGACAAATGTAGGAGTACATAACGTATGTTTTAGCTAATGGTATGAGATCTTACCGAGTTATATTGGATTTTGCTGATATCCAGTGAAGATTGAGGGATTCCAGGGTAGCGGTGCTTGAGAATGAGCAATATAGTCTCTGCTCGATCTTCAAAGATCTCTCGTTTTTCCATACTGACAGCTGAACGATAGCTCGACTTTTCATTTTTATGGATCATCTTCCTTTTCCAAATCACTACAGATGCTTCAATCTTATTCTTAAGTTCCACGATTTTATGTTCATGTTCTGAAGACAACCCCATCATGGACAGAAAATAATCAGGATCGAAATATTCATCTGTGATGCTTTTGTAGATCGAGTCTCCCAGGGTTGCTCTACCATTCTAACATCAAAACACGCATAAATTTTATTACTCCCCTAAACTTTTAAGCATGATAGGGGGAATGTAATGAAAGCTTGCTATTTGTGTTACCTTTGGCAGAGATTCTATATAACTCTCTGGGATCTCCATTTCTGCAAGAACTTGAGCATTTATGGCCATGGCTGCTTTGAGAACTTGGTTAACCGAATCCTTCTGAACCTGTAACCATTTCCTCGAAGATTCAGACAAGCCAGCAGGCGGGACATGAGGAGTTGGTATCCACCATTTGTCGACTTTCTTGCTATTCTTGCCTTTCTGCTCACCATCATCCTTCGACGATGAATAGTAGAACTCGTTTTGATCCTTAGAGCTGTCCAGACAATCCTGTCGGTTTTCCATGTATCAGTAACCCGTAAGAATCACAGACATAGAAAGTGCGATGAACTGCAAAAATCTTACAATGAGCGTCGCGTCTAGCTTGCGTAGCGCTGGGATGTTCGTTCGCAGATCGGTTCTCTTCTTAGTTACCATAATCTGTCAAACAAAGAAGCATATATGAGTGTTGTTTGTTCAGCATATAACCATTAATATGCAATCCAACTATCAGCTTAGGCGAGCACATGCTTCAATTTGGTATCAGAGCCAAATCAGGTCATGGGTTCGAATTTCTACATGTTGCTTAGAACCCACCGCACACGTGAGGGGGCGTGTTGAGCATATTACCATTAATATGCAATCCAACTATCAGCTAGTAAATATGTGTGGGAGATTATAGTATACCTCCATGCATGTTCCATCTTTTGATGTTTGTTTGGAAGGGACAAGTTCAACAATGTGGTCTGTAACAGACAAAAGCCAATCTATTTCCTTTCTCCACCTTGCTCTCCTTTCTGCTGCCATTGGCTCCAATCTCTTTATTTCTCCAAACACAGAAGCTGCATTTTTGGGGGGGAAACACAAACCATAAATGACAATACAATAAATATGAAAACTCTTAAAACACAACCTCAATTTCACCAATATATATATAGATTCATGATCAAATGAGTTCACCCCTTCCCATGTGTCCGTGTGGACAGAAAGCTAGAGATAAATTGTCAAATCTGATCCATTATCAACTGTACAAATGGACCAGATCTCACGAACTCATGAGAAGGGGTAAACTCAGAACATCTCCCCTGTAAAAAAGTGTTCACCCTCCATCTTGAGAAATACTAATGTTTACAATAATTATAAAATTGATCCGTTTCTTTTACTAAAACCCTGAGATCAGTTCTCACTTTTTACGGGGGAACCATGTTCTCATTTGATCATACCCCTATATATATATATATATATATATATATATATATATATATATATATATATATATATATATATATATATTAAACCATGATTGAAGGCCATTAAAAAAACATACCTGCTGTATTTGTGATTGCATTTGACAAAGCCAAAGCAGAAGAAACGCCCTTTCCACCGCCTGACATATCCTCACCAAGAAGCAATTTTGCAAACCTCTCCTTCATCAGCTTCTCGTCTGTAACAACCACCCCAGAACACAAAAATGCATGTAACTATCCACCCATCTATATATATATATATATATATATATATATATATATCTCTATATATATATAACATAAATGTGTAGTCTGACTATCAGTTTATGCTAATTACCTGATGGTTTGCCATTATTGGCCGTGTTCTGGCTCCCCGCGTCTGCCTCGATTGCCTGAACCATCTTCTCTGATTCAAGCTAGCCGGATTGCAGATGGGGGTTCAGAAAAGCATTAAAAAGCTGACTGAAATGGGGAGGGATCGGAGAGATTTTGTTGAGGGGAATAGAATTGAATGAGAAGAGGAGGAGGGCAAATTAAAGTTTGGGATTGATTGGTTGATTAATGTTTAAGGTTTGTGTGTGTGTTTAAGGTTTGCTGTGGTTTTGGATGGTTGACACAACGTGGGGTGCATGTTTCAGAATGGAATGAACCCAGCCAGACACACACTAAAATATTAATGTTGACAATTATTGGAGGTTTTGTAATGGTGAGAGAGAATGCAATGGAGAAGATAAATCAAAATATTTAATCATATCTTTTTTATTTACGGGGTAATAAATATAATCATATCTCGATAAATATAATGGATGTTTCATATGTACATAATTATGGGTCTGTTTGGTTGGTGGGTTTTGCCCATAGGAATGGGTATGAAAGTGATTGTTGTTGTTTAGTTGATAGGTTTTTAGAACATTACTATGAGTTTCGAATACCCCATCAATTGAAAAACTCATACCCAAATACAATAACAGGGCGTTTGGTTGGAGGGATTTTAAATTCCCTCCCCACTTAATTCCCACCTAATTCCAAAGACCATTAAATTCCGTAGTTTGGTTGGAGGGAATTACAATTCCCCAATTTTCATGGAATTAAAATCTCATATCACCCTGGTATTTTAATTCCTGGGAAAAAAAGATAGTAATGAGTCAAAATTCTCCTTCCTTTTTTAACCTAAAATTAATGTCTAACAACAATAATGGACATTTTTTACTTTATACTACTTATTCCCTTTCAATTCCCATGTATACCAAACATTGGAATTGAAATTCCCAGTAATTCTATACCTGTCAACCAAACACTGGAATTTAAATTCTCACTTTATTCCCAGTAATTCAACTCTCATGGAATTACAATTCCTTTCCCACATAATTCCCCCCTCCAACCAAACGCCCTGTAAGGGTTTCATTCTCAAGCACTACTATTAGTAACCATTCTCATTCCACCCTATTACCAAACATGTTAAATACTTTCATCAAAACTCATTACCATTACCAAGTATTTGATACCCATTCCGATTCTGATTCCTATGTGCGAACCAAACACACCCTATATAGTAGAATACACATGAACTCCTAACATAATACACATACGGTGTGTTTGATTGATTGATTTTGCTCATAGTAATGGGTATGAAAGTGATTGTTATTGTTTGGTTGATAGGTTTTTAGAAGTTTCGAATACTCCATCAATTAAAAAACTCATACCTAAATAAAATAAAGATTTTATTCTCTTATTCAATCTCAAGCACTACTATTAGTAATCATTCTCATTCCACCCTACTACTAAACATGTTAAATACTTTCACCAAAACATATTACCATTACCAAGTATTTGATACTCATTCCGATTCCGATTCCCATGTGCGAACCAAACATACACATAATCTTAACATAATACATAATATACATAAACTCTTAACGGAATACACATGAACTCTTAACATAATACACAATTACACATAAACTCTTACAGGGCGTTTGGTTGGAGGGGGGAATTATGTGGGAAAAGAATTGTAATTCCATGGGAGTTGAATTACTGGGAATAAAGTGAGAATTTAAATTCCAGTGTTTGGTTGACAGGAATAAAATTACTGGGAATTTCAATTCCAATGTTTGGTATACATGGGAATTGAAAGGGAATAAGTAGTATAAAGTCAAAAATGTCCATTACTGTTGTTAGACATTAATTTTAGGTTAAAAAAGGAAGGGGTAATTTTGACTCATCACTATCTTTTTTTCCCAGGAATTAAAATGGAGAATTCTATTTGCACCACCCTAATTGCTATTTGCACCACCTATTTAATAGGTGTGATAATTTTTAGGTGGTGTAAATGAAAAATTGCTATTTGCACCACCTTCATTAATTTTAGTCAAACATTATTTTTTTAACAAATATTTATTATAAATGACACTTTTTCCACTTAGGTATATGCTTTTAACACTTTTTCCCTCTTAGTTATTCATGTATCCACATTTGCCTCCTAGTTATATTAAAAGTGGCATGTTTTCTTCCTTTTATGTTTGATAGACATTTTTACCATTAAAACTAAATATTTCATTTATTTTTTCTTCTCCAACAAATTATTGTTTATATGTACGGATGGTCACGGTTCAGTTCAAACAATTTTTTTTTAATTTATTATTGTCAGTTCAAAATTTATTTATTGATTATAAATTTTATTTCTTATTTAAAAAAAAATTAATAATTATTTTTTTGTATTTTATTTTTTCGGTTCTGAATCGTAAGCAAAGCCAAAGGGAGTTTGTTTTAATTTACAATCACACGTGTTATATATTACTCTTCCGAACTTCATTCCAATTAAAAAGGGGAAAAAATATTGATTTCTTAGGCTTTCGCAGTCATATTGAAATTGACAATCCATTACGTTCCAATGGCATTTTGGAGTGTGATTTTATATCTAAGATTATATTTGATTTCTCTCTTTTTGAGGAATGCACACCTTCATTAAAGGACATATATACTAGTAATCTACAATTACTTTGATTTAACAGCAATTAATTTTTATATGATTATCTTAATCTTAATTATAATAAAGCCATATGGTCTTGTGAAAATTAAATATTGATATTAATGGTTAACAACATGTAATTTTCACAAGACCATATGATGTGTGTGTGTGTGTGTGTATATATATATATATATATATATATATATATATATATATATATATATATATATATATATATATGAATATGAATTGCAACTATGTTGATATTAGGTTATGTATTTTTTAATAAATAATATTATTATAATGTTGTCCAATATTCATTCCGTGCATCGCATGGGTAGCATACTAGGTGTAAACATACTCAAGATTAAATATGTATACCGCTAGTTGCGATTAATAATATATAGTAACTTTTTCATACTATTTTCAATTATTAAATTAAATATTGTAAATACAATATCATAATTATTTTGTCATATACTTAATAAAAATGTAATTTTAAACAATTAAATTGTGGTTCATGTTTTCTTCTTCTGTACTTCAAATACCATTATTAAAAACATTTTTTTTACCTATTCTAACATTACAAACAAATTTTTAATATTTAGTCCGTGCATCGCACGGGACAATACTAATTATATATAATATGATTAAGCCAACTATCATGTAATATGATGACATTTCAATTACCATTTCAAATAAATGGTCATAGGTTCGAACCTTGGGAGTGGAGCTTAGATTCTTAGGGTTAAAAATGTTTAAGAAAATATAGAACAAATCTAACTAATTGTGAAGGCACAACACAACTTTATTTTCTTATACTTACGATTCAGAACCGAAAAAATGAAATAAAATAAAATAAAATAATTATTAAATTTATATTATTTTAAAAATAAGAAATAGAATTTATAATAAATATATAAATAAATAAATTTTGAATTGGCAATAAAATAAAAAATTGTTTCGAACCATAATCATCTGTACATATTAACAATAATTTGTTGGAGAAGAAAAAATAAATGAAATATTTAGTTTTAAGGGTAAAAATGTTCACCTAACATAAAATGTAGAAAATCTGCCACTTTTAATATAATTGAGGGAGCAAATGTGGATGAACAAATAACTAAGAGAAAAAAAAAAGTGATATAATCATATAACTCAGAGAGAAAAAATGTACAATTTTCCCTTAACCGGAAACTTTTAATTCGATTGCTATAGTGTCCGGTTCAGTTAGAATCGAACCGTGGTCATCCCTACGTATACGCAATAATTTGTTAGAGAAGAAAAATAAATAAAATATTTACTTTAAGGGTAAAAATGTCAATTTAATATATCGAAGGAGGGAGGGGGGGAGAATCGTCACTTTTAGAATAGTTGAGGGGCTAATATGCTAACATGAATAATTCAGGGGTAAAAAGTACTATAAATATATAACTTAGGGGAAAAAAGTATCATTTTCTCTTAATTAAATTTTGAATTAAAAATTTATTAATTACACCTCATAAATGAGGTTTGACCAAGGTGGTGTAAATAGCAAAATGAATCACCATTTGGCTATTTACACCACCTATGTAATTATTAAAAATTTTCACCTTTTTACAATTTCAAGATACTTTATACCTACTTTTGACCAAAAGGTGGTGCAAATAGCAACACCCATTAAAATACCAGGGGGGGACATGGGATTTTAATTCCATGAAAATGGGGGAATTGCAATTCCCTCCAACCAAACTACGGAATTTAATGGCCTTTGGAATTAGGTGGGAATTAAGTGGGAAGGGAATTTAAAATCCCTCCAACCAAACGCCCTGTTAATATTAGCATAATACACATGAACTTTTAACGTAATACACATAAACTCTTAATGTAATATACATACTCTTAATGTAATATACATAAACTCTTAAAATAATACACATAAATTTTTAAGACGTACAATGCATTGTGCACAATATAATTTGCCGTGTTATAATCTTTCCTCCAAAAGGCTGGACCCCAACCCTAATACAGTATAATGAATTATTTATGAATTAATTAATTTTTAACGAATCAAATAAATTTGTAGCATCTAAGATATGAAACATATAAGTTACCATATTACTCTTGTTCTAGAAAATATCCGACGCACCTATATAAGCTTATATGTTTCAAATTAAATATAGAAACATTAAGAAATGAAAGAGAAATTAAATAGGGCGGTGTGGCAATTAAGACGTGACTCCCCGTTAGCTTTGGCAATGATATAGTTTTGTTTAATTTTTTTAATTTTAAAAAAGTCAAACATTTTTATTTTTTTTTTTGGTTTAGAATGAAATAAAAAGTATGTACAATTATAATAAGTATATGTGGTTACTGATTAGTTAACTGAGAAGGAAATCACCCCTCTAAGTAGTGAATTTACCTAACATGGAAAATATGTGATCCCAGAGTATTGATATTGTGAATAAAAAACTTTACTTAAGATTTGAGTTGATCTGACATGAGTTTATGATATGAGATTCATGATATAGTCGGGCAAAATTAGAAAATTTGGTTATCAAAAAATAGCTAAAGGACAAAGAGAGTTTGATTGATTTTGTTGGACAATCATAATTCATTACTGTCCTTTATAAATAAAATAAAAAAGAGTAATAAATGACCTTTTTTACAGTTATAGACTTATAGTTATTCTTTAAGAAAATTGAGGAAGACAACTTTTGTATCGCCACATTTTTAATTTTTTTTAAAAGATTCTAGTGA